ACCCTCTAACGGAGTCAGATCTACTGCGATTTACAGTGGAACAGCGTCGCCGGCGCCCACACCCGACCAGAGCCGACCAAGCAACCACCAGACCCTCTAACGGAGCCAGATCTACTTGTGTGTTGTCTCGATGTGTGTGATCTCTGTGTGTGTGTGATCTCTGTGTTGTGATCTCTGTGTGTGTGGTGTCTGTGGGTGTTGTCTCGGTATGTGTTGTCTCGGTATGTGTGATTCTCGGTGTGTGTGATCTCTGTGTGTGTCATCTCTGTGTTGTGATCTCTGTGTGTGTGATCTCTGTGTTGTGATCTCTGTGTGTGTGGTGTCTGTGGGTGTTGTCTCGGTATGTGTTGTCTCGGTATGTGTGCTTCTCGGTGTGTGTGATCTCTGTGTGTGTCATCTCTGTGTTGTGATCTCTGTGTGTGTGATGTGTGTGTGATTCTCGCTGTGTGTGATCTCTGTGTCTGTGATCTCTGTGTTGTGATCTCTGTGTGTGTGTAGTCTCTGTGTGTGATCTCTGTGTATGTGGAAGAACGCGTGGCAGGAGGAGCGGAAGACGTGAAGCGGAAGAAGCGGGATGAGACATAGAAAAGAAGAACCCCACACTAAGATGTGGGGAAAAAACACACTAAGAATGAGAACTGGGATGACCCCCAGTTTGATTCTTGGACATATACATCAACTGAGCATTGCCTGGACTGTGCGAAGTTGTGCCAAGGGGGGCGCCATGAGCGAGGAGGAAGTCCACGTAGCAGGACCAAAGCTCACAAACCTTCCAGCTCATTAAAGTGAAGGTCTTTAGTCAGACCATATTCCAGTGAGACATAGCCTAGACAGCTTATTGCGAAAGTAATAGAACACTGAACTGAACACAGTGCATAAGAAAGTACGTGCAGAAACTGATACAAAGGCCTCCATGTCATAACCACGTAAATATCAACGCTTTTTGACAGCAAACATGTAAGAAACAATGTAAAAGCTATGGTTTTACATCCCACGGCAAAAAACGTCGTAAATCCCACGTTGCTGAAACTCAAAAACATCGGTATTTAACGATATTTACATGTTTTTAGGGCCCCTAATGGCAAAAACAACTGGTAAAGACCGTGTGTTTGCGGAGTTTCATCGCCTGCGCGCGCGCCAAAAAGCATGCTGTAGAAGTGGTCTTTTTGGTGACTTCAGCAAAAACCCACTATATAAGCATGACTAAGCATGACAATTGCTTCATTGGTGGCCCCAATGACTGATTGCTGACCCTTGCCAAACAGATTGTACTTCTGGGGTTAAGGTTTCACTCCTTACTTTCATGAAAATGGAAGTCGGAAGAAGAAATACTGAGCCCTGGGAAGCCAGAGGAGTATTGGTGCATATTTAGGAAGACAAAGGAGAGTGATTGAGTATATGAGGGGGTATAAGTTTTAAACGTTCTGATTGGTCGGGAAAGCCTCTTTGACATTGCCAAAAATACTGCTACAGCCAACGTATACACACCTGACATCACCTGACTACGATGGCTTGCCGTAGCTTGTCGGCCTTGTACCTCACCACTTACATCTCTGAAGAACACATTTTTGTATTATCCCATTGTGTCATGTGCTGGCATGTGCTGCCCATGCTGGGACCAGGTGCCTCTCCAAATTTGTGGCCATCGGCTTCAGCGCACTGTAACGCCTGCTGGATGTGCTTAACTGAGTCTTTGGATGTCTCAGGGACAAAATCTCAACTGGTCTCTGGCATATCTTGAGCGGTTCGACATGTGGAGGTGGAAGAGCAAAAGTACATCGAAGACCATCGAAGTGGTGCTGTTGAACAAACTGCGGTCTGCGTATGTGTTGTCTTTGACAACCGATGGATTGCTCGACCTGCAAAATCTTTTTCGTGTGGCACGTCTGGGATCGTCATTTACCATAGTCTTAGATAAATGATGCCTGGAGGCAAATCAGCTGACAAGATTTGAGGGGGAAAGGGTTATCTTACAGTGTCGTGTCATGACTCTGGATGCATTTGCATGGTCAATGATAACTGCCACACACAAGTGGAAGATCATGGTAATCGACTCCAAGGACCCATCCAAACTGCAACTGAATTCGGGAGAAGTGACTTACAGCAATCTCCTGGGCCATAGTATCCACCTGTTAGGCCAAAAGCAAAAGTGTACGCGCCGCTCATTGGGGGGAGGTCGTCTTCAAGCAAAAAGGCAGTGGCCCACGTTGAAATCTGCCGATGCCAAATGGTTGACTGCACTCAAGCCAGCCTCCTCAAAAAGAGTGATGCACTTCGCCACAGCTGATCCTACGCGAAAGGGGAATCACACAAAAACACAATAGCACAGGAATGTGCCATCCTAAACTGGTTCTGAGACTTGCAGGTCTTGCTTTGCTTCAAGACAACGAGGAGCTGAGGAATGGAATGTCGATAGATTCCCAAGGAACGTTTTGCTTTTGGAAGGAAGTCGATGACCATTTCACAGTTGAGGCACCAGCTGCTGAGCACAACTCAGCAGTAGGATGGTTCTATGCTGCAGTTGTGATCTCCTTTGCTGATAGCGGTTGCTTAACAAACATGGTACAAGTTACAAAACATTCAACAAACAACGGTGCAGTCACTCCAAAACTCTGCAGGCTGTGCTGTAATGGCATTTGCTCAAATCTACTGTAACCTTTAAATGGCCAAGCAGCCAAACTGAAATGACTTTTGTAGGTTTCTGCGTGGGGCATATCAAAGATCAAATCATTGCCTAATGTGTTTCCCAACTAAACATAGACCTGATGGCAGCAACATTTATATAATATATATATACTGTATCGATCATTCATGCTTGTGTAGCGAACGCCAAATTTATGAATTTCGTCCAGGCACCCCAAGTCACCTGGGTATGGTTCTACATTTTGAGTATGAACAAGTGTATATATGTGATATAGGTTCTGCAATGGGGCGGGGAATTTTGAAACGTAGCGACGTAGCAACAAACTTTGTCTTACCAGTCGTAGGCATCAATTCAATATTCAATAGTGATTGCAAATTGGCTGACCAAGGGGTCCTTCTGTAAACTACATCAATTCAAAACTAGACTGCCTCCAGAAAGGCTTGGCAATAGACTATTTACAGTTTTGCCTACACCAATTTATCAGCTGGAACAAAACATGCATCCCCAAAAGCTCAGGAGAACACTGGAAGCGTTGATATATACCATGCCTTGCTTCTCCCCACAGCTGTTCCGACAATGATCCACTCTCTTAGAGTCTTACAGTGGAACAGAATGCAAGCAAGACAGGAGGACTGGGGCATGTGTCTCCATGGCATGCAGGCCTGGTTCTCCTTTCTTCTCAGCGTGTCCGCGCATAGTCAAAGACCTTTGAGCAACTTCGAGAAGGTCTTTGGACTTTGAAAGTCAATGATTTTTGACTACAGGCATAGCAAGCGTAGTTATGAAATGTTATGAATATGCTTGAGATGACAAAATGAAGGTAAGGGCCCCTTTAAAGGCGCCTTACCTTGTGGCCCCTGCTTCCGTAAGCTTGTTGCGGACACTGTCTCTTACTTCTGACAACATTTGTCTCGTGCGGCCTGCCGGTTCTGATAGTGCGTAGCCGCATAGCTCTGTAATTATGGTAATTTTTGAATGATCTATTCCATTCATATTTTCCTACCTTGGGATGCATGATGGTGCTACTAGATGTTTCTCCTCCAATCAAAGAAACTCCTGGGGCACTACATATATGAACTATGAACTGTCAATTCGAAGAAATGAGACAAAGCCACGAATTAGATTGGAGGCCATCGATATTAGGTTGGAGGCCTGGCAATGAGGGTGGAGGCCATCGCTATTGGGTTGGAGGCCCTCGCTAACCGCTAGTAGGTTGGAGGCCTATTAGGGTGGAGGCCATCGCTATTAGGTTGGAGGCCATCGCTATTTGGGTGGAGGACATCGCTATTAGGTTGGAGGCCATCGCTAGTAGGTTGGAGGCCATCGCCGCAGTGTGTATCAATGGAGTGCATGCTTCTGGAATCTACATCCCGGCGCTATCTCAGTCGAGCGGCGAAAGCTCTACCAAAAGACCAACTTGTCGACAACCAGCTTGCCAAGCAGCAAGCAAAGACCTGCTATTGATCAGTTGAGTTGATCCGGACAGAAACCGTCACAAAGACAAAGACTCAATACTCTTGACAACACTTACTGGAATCCTCAATTGAGCACATCAAATAGACGTTCAACAATTCCTGGTATCACGGACACCCGATATGTGATATCTCCGACTTATTTCAAAAGCCACAAACCGTCGCTCTAGTCGCCTCATTTTGTGTTTTGGACATACCTGACTACATGGCTCTACATGTAATAAAATGTAAACATACAAACCATCGAGACTTGCCTACAAAAGTGCGGCTTGCCGTTGAAGCAGGCCAGTAGAAGGAAGACGAAGGAAGCCACTCTCTGAGGACCCTGACTCGTAAGCCTTCTCAGGATGACCAAGCTCCTGTGGTGGAAGGGATGGTTTTGTTGCAACAAATGCAGCTTTGCTTGTATGGATGAAAACCAAAGAAAAACACACTCACTATTGTTGAATTTGGTACAGTAATTACATGTGCCTGTTATCAAAAAAGAAGTTTTTGCCCAGTCAAAGTGATTGCAAAACCCCAACACACAAGCATCATGGCATGATGTGCCATGTATGGAGTCAGGCTTGTTCCTTGTCCGAGTTCCAAGAATATGTAGTGTCAGAATTTGGAAACAACAGGATGTCTATTTAATGATGAAAGGACCAGGCTGGGATGCATTAAAGTGACCCTCTCGGGAATGTAATGTAATATATAAAGATGTTTGTGAACAAAGAGATTCTACGTGCAGCTCGATTCCCTGCCTCACAAAGGCGAGCATGGCGGCGACCTTGCAAGCGCAAATGATGAAAGGGTGAGAGTCATGCATGATCCCGGTTTCAGGCAGTCGAGAAGTAAATGAGACCTTCCTCTGCTCGGAATACTATGATAGACAGCCGAGCCCTGTTGCTACATCTCATCCATCTATAGTATGATGTCATTTCCGGCCCTGATGCCCTGTTCATTCATCAATAGCCTTCATGTTGAATGCTACAAGTGACCATTGATCAACTCCAGGTTTGTCTTAAGCTTGGGGGACCCCGACTCAGAATTGCTCGTGAGGACAAGTCTGCGTTAGCAGCAAAGCTCTCCAAGAGGGCAGCAGCCAAGTCACCATCCTGCAAGGCTTTGAGTGAGACTGGAGACTTACAAAGTTGCTGCAGTTTTTAGTGTTTTAAGTTTCGGCCTCAGGATACGGAAGGTTCTCGCATGCTAGGATGGCCATCCAGCTTGAAGCCTCACTACATTCTGAACGCAACAATAGGGATGCATATCCCTAATCCAGAATGGCGCCTGCTGCCGAAGCTCTAAACCACAGCGTCGCAACGCCAAGTCAGCGCTGCCACGGCCTCAGATTTGAGGGACACCGAGTGGTACTTGCCTTCAGGCCAGCTTTAAGAACTGAGTGTATTGACGTTTACCCCTCATCTCTATTGCTTCCCACTTCCTGCTGGAGCACTACATAGCTGGATTCTACCAAACTCCTGCTATTGCCAGTCTAGAAAACGTGGTTTGGGCTCAAAACGAGCAATCCAAGCAGCTACCCGACCAAGTGCTCAACTCAAAGGCAAACTCTTAAAAACTCTCGGTTGGGGGCAGGATTCAGGATCTAACCGTGCAACATCTTCCAAATACATCTTATGCAGGCATCCGCAAGTTGCCCTTATTTCATGATATATACAGTACATGCGTGACAGTCCAGTCTATCAGCGGCGCTTGAATGCATTCTAGTCCAAATCAAGCAGGAAGCATTGCCTGGTTGCCCAAAGACAGCATCACATCAGTGCTAGGTTGATCCAAACACACTCACATCCTTGCTTTCAAGGTATATCTCGGCTGCCATCGAGATGTTAGAATGCGTCAGCAGAATACAAACTATTTCTTCTGTTGACGATGTGGGTCAAAACATTGACCCAGCCTGAATTTGCAACGTTGCGAAGACCTCATGTGCCAGTGCAACCTGGCGACCTTCTTACCTTGAGTATTCTCCTGCAGGCAGTGGCTGGATAATGCCTGCCTTTCAGAACAACGCCTTTCGATTTGGGCGCAACACTTGCGGGAACGAAGTGCGAAGGAATCTTAGGGCCTGGCCACACCCTGCAAGTGCGCCATCCAAAATGATGCGAGAACGAAGTGTTCGGCCACACTCCTCCTTGGGGTCGCCAGTCTGTGTACACAATGACTTCCTTTGACAATATATAACATGTATTTTTAGCCCCAGGCCCAGCCTCCTTACTCAATTAAGTAGGCGCCTCTTAATCAAGTGAGGGCGACTAGTTCGCTCCTAGCTACTGGACGCAGGATAGCTCACGCTTCTTCAAGGAAGCTCTCCCCGCCTGAGGGCGGGGGGAGCTTCCTTGAAGAAGTGCTCGCACTAATTTGGTTCCTAGATTTTTAAGGATGGACCTTTGGCAAGTTTGGTGTCGTGGGCCCTGGGCCTCCATTGATTGTTTGGGTGGTCATGTCCTCGCAAGCATTTTGACAAATTACAACAAACCTTTTGAGAGTTTGCTGATCCCTCACTTCATAGTAGAATTTCCATAGATCTCTTTAGGCTATGGCTATTCCAAGAAAGGTGTGTTTCACATGTTTCACGCATTTCCAGCAGGTCGCCTCCAGTTCTGCCCATGCAGCAAGGGCATCAGGTCGCCGAGCAAGGCGCCCAGACAGGCAAGCGCCTGGCTGGAGAGTTCACTATATCGAGAATTGAGCTTCTTCTTCTTCTCCTTCAATGCAAGCAAAGGGTAGATAACACTGCAAGCAGAAGAAAACAAGTCGGACAAAGCCGCAGAAAGAAAATGTTCTAAGGGGTGGTAGCTGTGTGTACAAGACCAAGGCCCAAGGCGCCTCTCAACAAGCTGCAGGCAAGCTCAGGCTTCGCCCCTGGGTTCGATGTTGCCTGCATCTGTGGCTATTTAAGGTTGAGTCGAAGCCGGACTCAACGTGTGGAATTCAAATGAAAGTGACAGGTGATTAATTTGGATTGAACATTTGCAATGAGCGCACCAAGAACTGAAGACAAAGCTACATGTTGGGCGTGATGAACTGAATAATCCTCAAGGCACTTGTTCAATCGCTTGTCAACGCACTGAACATTGAACGGAATACATACATTGTCAAAAATTGCATGCTCTTGGATCTGTCTGCAAGGCAAGAGCTCAACCCCTGCCTCTGCTTGTTCAAGCAAGCTTGCGTAGCGCAGCCAGAACTCGAGGTAGTTGTTGGTTACAATCTGAATCAAGGCGCTGAAAGAACTACTGCTGTAGCTTCTCCCAACGTGCAGCGATACCCGTATAGCCAGACCTATCAAGAACCCAATCAAGTTACATTTGGGCGATTTTGACACAACTGGTAACCAGACACTGGTGGCTTCTCCTTTGTAGTACGAACAACAGCTTGCAAGCTTGGCTAGAGAGTGCAATACATCTAGCAGTTGACATTTAGCGGTCACAGGACATGGAAAGAACTTCCAAGCTGGGCAGGAGCACCAAGCATCTTTCGAACAAGCCCTGCAAGCGCCGCCAGTTCCGCGGTGTGCGTGACCTGAGTGCACGATGTAAGCAAGGTTAGTCAAGTGCACGGGGTAACATGGAGTAACCACCAAGTGTAACCATGGGTGTCATAAAGTTCATGTGAATGAACTCACCAACTTTACAGAGCTACGAGGATGAGCCGACTGGGTCTCACAAACAATATGCACTTCAACACACATAGAGTCAAAGAGGAGCGCAAAGGACTTGCAAGCGCGATCTATTGTGGTATACGGCCGTGGGCATCCTGACAAAAGCTGACCATCAGATTGAAAAGGTCTTGGATGCATGTTCATAAGTGTTCATTTCTTCATGCTTATTGTGGCTTGTTGAGCTGGGTCGCCCGAGCTCTTCAAAGTCAAGGTATCGGCGCCATGCATCCAGTTGAGCCAGGCTCAAAGGTTTGTGGTGAAAATAGTGGCGATGCAAAAGACCCTGAGATGGCAGCAGCGAGCCCAACAAGCAACAGAGCCTCTGGAGTTCACTCAACTGCAACTTTCTGGGTGGGGGTCTCATAGATTGATCTACCCTGACGAGCTAGCCAAACGACTATTGCAGAAGGAGCTGGTGCCAACTGGTGGCGAAGAACATGTCTTGTTCGTGTTTCCTGTTTGTTTGCAAGCGTACAAGGGTTTTCTCTAGCCCGGGGGGGTAGGCCGCTAGGAGGTAGTAGCTGGTAGCGGTAGAAGAGGTAGCTAGTAGCTTAAGCAGCTACTACCGACAGGACGCAGGATAGCACTCGCACTATTCATGTGGTTCCTATATAGATGTTTAGGGAAACTTGAGTTGATTCTGTCTATGACAAATCAGAAAAGCGCATGAGCAGTTCAGGCTTGGATGTGCGAAATATGATAAGCCTGAATGTGCCCGCACCATCCCATGTGCCTCAAACTCTCTCAGGACCAACGCCTCCTCGCTAGTCTTCTTCCAAATGGCCTAACGCCCCGAGAGTCCATGAGGCCTACATACCGCGCATGTTTGAAACCTACAAGAACGAGGAACAAGGAATCCAACTGAACCAACTAGCTAGGAAGGAGGGCCAAATTTCATTGGAGAGACTAAATCCGAACCAGTCTATCTTTGTCCACTCACGAACAGCTGGGGTATCCAGGTCGGTTTGGGTGAGTGAGGTATGAGAATGCAAACTGTGCCAAAAACCATTGCCTGCCAAGTCAGCATGTTGCAAGCCATCACAAGTTGGTTGAATATATATAGTATAATATTATATATAATATATATATATATATATTTAACTTGTTCAAAAAAAAAATTATTACAGTAAATGTTCGTTGAAGTCAGGGAGCGTGCATCAGTGTGCCAGTACAATCCATTGATCGCATATTCCAAGAATAAATTGTTCCCTTCAGGAGAAATTCAGCTAGTTTGTTATCATGTGCATCAATGCAACAGAAATCTATGAGGTCCGTGACAATCTCGTTGAAGAGTTCATCATACTCAAACAGGTGGTGAGGTTCAATGAGTGAAAGGAAAGCTCTTTCAGGATCTCGGAAGTTAGAGATCTGTCTTATAGTGTCACTATGTCACTCATGATCCAACGTCAGCAGTCTCGTGCAGAGTTCAGAGTGTCAAGCAAAGTGGGCACCATCAATGTGATTGAGAACCTGCTAAGATGTTTTGCCTGCTGTGAAGCCTTCAGACATCAAGGAACATGAACATGTCCCTCATGTTGGCAAGCTGGGTTGGCACCGTTGGCACCTGGGTTTGGAAGGGCGCAGTTGAATATTGGATGTTTGTGCCTTTTGTACAAGAAGGACCCCTGTGACAAGAACTGTTGGCCTAGTACAGCCAGGACTAGTATACTAGTGGATACTCATCGTTCAGGCCAACGGGAGGACTCCATTCGTTGTACGGTCGACGTACAAGCGGCGTACTTAAGTCAACCCACGTCGCGTGAAGTCAACTCACTGCATGGGCACAAGGTTTCAGCGAGAAGTCAACCCACTCACGTGAAGTCGACTCAATTTGGTCAAAGCACAATGGGCACACTTGAAGTATGAGCACGGCAGGAAAGTGATATGTTCAAGGAAAAGTGTGCGCACACTGTGTTATGGCTGGCATTTGGCCTTGCTTTCTAGATGTTTCAAGCCCAACTCTCAATGGCACAGCACAGTTCACACCAATGCGCAACTGAGAGAATAGGCTGCGCCGGCGCATACAAGTGACTATAGGCCTCTGCGCGAGCCCCGCGCGACCCTGCGCGAGGTTCGCGCGAGCACGACTCATAAGTCATCCTACAGCTTCCTACGGTCAAGCAGCAGCCAACCAGAAGCAGCAGCAGCAGTGGAGCATGGGCCCTAGGAGCTCTGCATCAAAACTGTCACAAATCCTTGTCCCTTCACCCCTGTGGAAGCTGCCCTGCCCCAAAGAACAGATTCATAAATACAAACAAGTAACAATCAGGGCACACCATAGGCACAACACAAAACATGTGTTATAGATCAATACAATCTATGCTTAGACATCCCTGTGGAGTGCAGTTCTGCAAGGGCAAACGGTTTCGAGTCGACTTTACACAAGCTGAGTCGACTTAACGCTACGCTATTATTGTCTAACACTTGCTGCCTAAGCTGAGCTGCAAATTGCTTTGATGTGTGAGTTTTGGACCACGTGCTTGGCAGTTCTCATTGTTTGGAGACACCTACCGGTAGAACGCAATGGATACACCGGACTTGGGCTTTCCCCAATTTGTGGAGCGTATTGTCATACAAGTCACTGCAAGACCCATAAAACTGAACAGAACACCTCCACACTACACCCCTGACCTCTCGCATCTGCAGGAAGCGCAAAGCGCGGTCACTGATGACCTGCTCTAAGATGCTGCATTTGGGCTGAAAGGCCAGAAAGGGCTCCCGGCTGAAAATCCTCCAAAACAATATCAAAGGGTTTGCAAACCGCTGGCTTGATCTATCTCAAGATTTCCCAGGAATGTGAGGAGAAACATCACTCACAAGGACAAGAAGAGTCTGACCCACCAGTCCAAGCATGGACGGACCTCGTGAGCAAGCCGCTGCACTAAAATGCAAAAAGATCATCTGAGAATCTGGGAGGCTCCTTGTTGAACAAACATGCCCTGACCATCCTTCGCTGAAGCAAATCATTGCACCCCCTTGAACAGTCGAAGACATTCGAGACCACATCAAAGTAATATATATATATATATGATTATATATATATATATGATTGTGTATATATAATCACAGCCGTCGGTCCTTTTCACGCGTTGCAGCCAGTT